ACTCTTTCTCAAAGCGAGAAGTTGAAACATAACGTAAATTAGTTCTCAATCATTTCCAGAATATTCAAGAATAATTCCTTTTTACAATACTTCATATAATTATTTAGAAAAATAAATTTATTGCATAATGCTAAGTACATAAAAAGATTATGTCAATATATTGAGTGGTTAAGAAAGACAAATACAGACTTTCTTAATCAAGTCATCAAGTCGCACAAATAATTACTTAAATAATTTTGAAAAGGTCAGTGAATATAAAAAATACTTATAAATTATAAATGACAATTATATATATGTATAAATTATGAATCATAAAATTACATCAAGAAAAAAAGATTTTGTTAATTTAACGAGTTATCAATACCTATAACAAATGATTTGTAAATATAATGACACAAATGTTAGTTACGAAAACGAATATCTATATGATGTATTGTTTTTTATTTGTTATCCAAGATTCTTTTCCGGAGATAAGTGCTAGTTTTTGTTATTCCAACCAATTATTAATAATAGAAGCAATCATGTATCTGATAGATACATTTTTATTTGCTAACACTGAGTATTTGTAAAAGATGCAAACAACGATTTAGCAAGTGTTTTTTATTATAATCCATGTATTATTTGTCCTATTGACGAATAATGATTCGTAATTTCAACTGATCAAACCGTTTTCATACTAAATCATCTTATTTGTTATCACTTTTTGTTCTAATAACAAGCTCATTTCTCTCAGTATACACAACACACACACACACATACATACATACACACACATATAATTAGTCATGCTATAAATTGCAATTTCTGAGTTCGTTTTCTAATGTACCTCTTCTAATTTTTTCTTTTCTAATTTTATGTCTTATCCTCCGATAATTATTCGCTATTCTACTTGCTTCGGTCTCATAAGGTCTCTCCCAGTTTTAGTAATCGCGAGATTCCCGGAGTCAAGCTGGTTTTGGTCCACAGGAGGCACGTCTCAATATTTGGGAAGATATAATCGGCTTATAGTCTCGAGCCGGTAACTTAGGACCAGGCCCTACCTGCTCGCGTTCGCGTTCCACGGACGTGACACGTGAACGGGTCCGGATATCTTTTCAGGAGAATGAGTAACAGGAGGATTCGGAGGAGGAGATAACGGGAGTGAAAAAGACAGAGAGGCAGGGGGAAGGGAAAGACAAAGAAGGAAGGAAGAGAGAAAGAAAGAGATAGTAGGAGTGAGGCCCTCACGAACGTCGTATCGACTGGGTAAGGAACACAAGATTTCAATTACTCGGCTACCATTTCATCAAACCGGGACTTCAGCTCTCCCCCGTGTTGCCAGCAGGATCCATCGAGGAAGCCACCATGTCACCTCTAACGAACGACGAACGACGGTCGAGACTGCATACCGGGCGACTTCGTCCTCCTTCCCCTCCCTCGGTCAACCCTTCTTCTTTGTCGGTTTTAGGGACCTCACGGAGAATATTTCGGGGAACTCGTGAATCGCTTTTTTTCTTTTCTGAGCCACGTGTAATTTCCGCAATATAAAATGCTCTAAAGCACTTAGTAATTTTTTTCCAATGTTAATGTCTTAAAAATATCATTTATTTTTATGAGAAAAGAAGAGGGAGAAAGAGAGGATGTAATTGAATTTAAATTGTAAATATAACTAAAGAGCGTAAATATATCATATTTTTATTAATCTTTTCATAGATCATTGAAAATGGATACTTTATTGTTTACTCAATAGTCTCTTTCTCTCTAGAATTTAATTTGTCAAAATTACTTAATATTTTATGTAGTATCAGTCGAGCTCTCTAGTTGCGATACGAACTGTACAGCTTCAATTAAGTTAAATGTCATGAAATTCAGATGGAGAATAAATCCACAGTAATTAACAAGTCACAGCGAAAAGCTAATGCGACATATAGTGGTAGATATGCCGCGTTAAAGTTTACTTTGCAAAATAATGGCTATGTTCGTATACACCCAGCTACATCTACTTTTAAATAGCTATATTTACTTTTAGATTGACTGCTACGCTATTTTTAATTCTTAATAAAAAGTATTTTAACTTTCTGATAAACACATATCAAATTTTATCTACATTTTAATAAAGTAATGTTGAGGATCATATTATTGTAATATGAATCAGATATTGTGAATTATAAATTAAATCCGGACAAACTGAATTCCCCTGGCATTATTAGCATTTACTGAATGTGCTGAATTGATTGTTAAGTCAAATCATTTCATTAATCTCAGGAGGCGACGCCTCTTCTGACGTCGTAAACCAGAAGACATCTACTTTAAATTTAATTTCGCTTTCACGCATTCTAAAAGCGACAAAAGAAATAAGATAACCTTTAGATAACCTAAAAGATAAAACATCAGTACCTTTTTGCTTAGTTTTTACAATCGTTCATCAACGTCTTAAAATCACCTTCGTGGAAAGAGAAGTCGTTTATTACCTGATTCAAGCTCAGGAAGTTAACTATTTTATTCTGCAACTTTTAGTGCGAATAACTGACGTAGTCATAAACCTCCCACGTCTATTATTTAGCAAGTGAGTTTTGCGAGACATTATTATTACGCTCCAATCCGAAACTGGGTGAAATTAAAGGAAAACAACGTCGGGCGTAGTTTAAACGCACCATCGATAAGCCTGCGGGCTAGGCTTATTACTTTTTAATTAACGGTCGGCGTATCTGAAGCGTTTGTTCTTATCGACACACCGACGCCCCATTTTCCTATACCCTTTTTTATCTTTGCCTTTTTACTACAGTGAGGTGATTCGGTAGAAAGAGAACATAAATTCAGACTATATGCCGCCCTGGAAAGTTATATATGAGAGATCGCGTAAGAAAAAAGTCAATTGTATTTTTTATACCATCACATCTGAAAGAAAAATATTTTTAAAAATTTCATATTTTCTGTTTTTTGCAGTATATTATAGTTTAATGAAAAGAATAGAAATAAAAAATATTTTATTGAAATACTTAAAAACCCTAAATTAATTAAAACGTTCTTTTAAAATGTTATGTTTAAATACTTAAAAAATTAACTTTGAAGTCCGGAAAATTGGTTATCATTTGATCGTAGATTTGCTGTTGGATATTCAATTCTTACAGTTTATTTGTGTGTTTTTGCATTTACCAGATCTTGTTGGGATGTAGCAACATTTATCGAGTCTGACGGGAATATATGCGCCATTAAAATGTATCCTTCGATACATAATCGTCTATCGAATGAGATAAAATCGGTTCGTAAGCCGTAATAAAATCATAACGAGATTGTGCCGCGTAGGCGGGGTACATGGGCCTCAATTATTTCGACGAGGCGCTTTCGTGAAGAGGGGTGGATTTCGAGAGGAGAGAAGGGTAGCAAGCGCCGTGGATTTAGAGCGACGCCATCGGGGGTTTTACGCCGGGTATTATTTTACAATTTTATAGGGAGAGACCATGTTTCCGCGTTCTGAATTTTACAGAGGGCATATGTACCCCGCCCCTTATGCTCCTTCCATCCCCGTTACATTTTACGCGCTTCCTCGCGCGGTATAAGCTACCTCGGCATAATCTCCAGGAGAGAGAGAAATTGTTTGCCTATGTTAGGTATTCAGTTCGTAGCTATAGTCACGACGATTAGCCACGTTCAAATTCGAATTCATTCTCTTCGCAAATTACCGCGGAATTAATCGCGCTATGCTTATATTATTATTGCAGGTGTGTTCAATGAAAATATGCATACATTTGTAACTCTTAAATATCGTAACGTTAATCTGTTAAAATTATTGACAATCGACACTGTTGTTGATAGTTTACAAATTTTAATCGCCATTTCATATTATTAATTTATTGATTTCATATTGTTACAAATTGGGCATATTGAATTGTCACTATGCTTAAAGAATATGATTTTGCATCTATATTTATTCTTTATAACGTTCTTTTATATATATACATATATATATATATATATATATATATATATATATATATATATATATATATATATATATATATATATATATATATATATATATATATATATATATATATATATATATATATGCTTTTATATAGAAGTACATAGAAGCTTCAAAAGCATTATGAAATAATTTGAATTATAATGGCTTTATGCAACAAAATGATCATATTTTGCTGCAGTTTTAGGTAAATAACTTTTAAACAAGTAAGTAGATCCACAAATAAACTTTGCAATGTTTATTAGAATATGTAAAAAATTTGATTTAATTTGTAATACTATGACTTTACGAAATTTGCTAATTAACTATTAATTACAAAACATGACTTTACAT